GCCACAGCATGCAGCTTTCCTGCTGTGGATCCCCAGCAGTGAGTTTAGCCTGTGTTACCTTCACATAAGTACTTTTTGCAGTTCTGAACTCCCAAGTACTTCCTCCCATCTCTGTGGTATCTCCATTTTGCTGATTGAGCAGAGATTTGAGTTTTCCCATACATGGTATCTAGCTGCCTGTTCCCTCTGAATACACCAAGAGAGCTGGAAGATCTCCAAAGCGGTGAGACAGAGCCCTTTGCTCTCCCTTGCTCAAAAGAAAAGGGTTGTTGAGATGCTGAGTTTCTTTAAAACAGTCTTAGAATGGGGGACATTATTTGGTCTAACAACTAACTTCCTTTCAAAGGAAGGGGTATGGTGTGCTTGCTTGACACAGCATTTTTCTCTTCAGCTAGAGCCAAGCGCGATGTACTGAATTCAGTAACGAAACATGCACAGACTGGGAAGAAACCTAAAAAGATGACTGTTACTGTCGACACAAGGAATGGTTTGTTACAGGATCTTTAGAATGACAAACAGAAAAGAAAAATCCATGGTGTTGTGAAAATTACTTACATTTGTGCCATCCGAAACGTTAGGAGGCTTCTTTGCGCATTGATTTTGGCATTTAAAGGACAATTGACATTGGAAGGGACCTCTGAAGTTTCTCCAGTCAAATTCCCAGTTAAAGCAGAGCTAATTTTGAAGATCATTCAGGATGCTGTGTTTTGTAATCCTTAATGGTATTTAAAAGCTCATGAAATCTTGATGAGCATGTTACCAGGTTATTGTGAATTGTAAATTTTCTTTATAGGAGTTAGATTACAAAGATATTTGTAATCATATGACTCATTTGGGGGGGGAATGTCTCATAAAAAATAATCCGCTCAACTTGTTTGGGATATGCAAGTTGTGACAAAGCTCTGAAAGATTTTTAGGCTCGATATGGAACATCTTGGCAAAGTTGAGAGTGGGAGAAAAGGGAAGAATAAGCAATGGTCAAAGCCATTTTAGACTAGGGTATATGTGCTAGTGCAGTCCAGCTTGTGAGAGTGCCCACGGAGTGCTTCCACTCTTGCTCAGCTGTCGTCTTAGGAGAAATATGTAAGTAAATCTGTGTGCTACCCTGAGTTTTACTGACAACTTGAAAAGACAGACTTCCCGGTTCTTTTTGACACAGCTGCAATGGGTCCTGTTTACACTGCTAAAATAAATGTTTAAGGATAGCTATCCTCTTAATGACAGTTGTTTCTTTGGGTGTGGGTGGGAGGGAAATGAGACATCTAGAAAACCATGTTTTAACTGGTCTTCTTGACACAAAGTGAAGACCATCAACTGGCACTTACAACAGGATTAAGACTAAGCTGGTTTAAATTCTGGTTAGCTGAGTACTGACAGACCATAAAATAACTCCGTTATCTTGGAGATCTCTTGTGGTCACCACAAAAACACACAAAAAAATGTTTTCCCTTTTCCTTTGGCCTCTGCTTTCCTGTAAAGAGAAGTGCGCATTCCCTTCTGGAGGTTTTAGCAGAGTTGAGAGCTTGCAGATCTGGTGGTTCCAGAGAAAATTATGCTCTTTAGTGAAGGGATGTTGCCACTAAAGCAGGTGACCGAGCATAGAAATGCTGGGTTAATTCACCAGTATAGCCTCTATATCAAAGCTTCTTACTAACATTGTGCATTGTGGTGGCTTTTTAATTGTTTTCAGGGTTGTTTGTATTGTTTTGGCATGCAGTGTGTGTGTGTGTGGTGGGGGTGGGTGTGGGGGGGGGGGGGTTAGAAGTAGAATAGGCTGAAATATAGGGAAAACAATGCTTGTAAAAATGCACAGTTTATAGAAGAGCACCATTTAGCATACAGATCTTAAAGTTTAGTGCTGTGTTCCCAGCTTCAGAAAAGCTTTCTGCAATTCCTGTTCTCTGCACCCACCCACCCCATAAAGAGGGTAACCATGTGTTCATTTTTTTTAAAAAAAAAAAAAAAAGTTGAGTGATTAAAATACCTTTAAACCAATCTTGCTGTGGATTGGACAGCTGTTCTTTCGTAACCTCTGCAGGGTGCCTGTGGCACATATTGCTCAAAGACGCTGAGAGCCGGGTCCTGGCCATAAGGCAAAGGCTCCAGAGCTGGACTCCTGCCTAGTCCTGCCCACTGGCCATCCTTGCCAGCGCAGTTTGTCTTCTCTCCTGCCTGCGCTGGCATTCAGAGGGAGCTGGTGGTTGCTGATGCTCGGGCAGGCTGCATGGGGTCTGGTGAGTGCGTGCACCTAAATGTTAAAGGCTTACGGGATGCTCTGTTCTATCTTCTCCTCGTGGATTATGGCTTACGGGATGCTTTGTTGTATCTTCTTATTGTGGATTGTCGTTTGTATTTTAAGGTGGGGTGGAGGGTTGTGAAGTTATTTTGAGCTTCAGATTTCCTTAATAAACAGCAGCTAAACAGCGATGAAGCTGCTAGTTACAAATGCTCTGCTGTTTTCCATTTAGTCTCTTCACTTGGGGTTCAGTGACATAGATGTCTCAGGGCTCAGCCTGTCTTGTCAGCAAATGTTTTAATAATCCTGGCTGCTGTTTCCCATACGTATTTTTCAAAGTGGCTCACTATGGTGTTTGCTTAGCAGGGGAAGAATCTCAGTGTCACCATGTAGAGCTGCTTCTTCCATTCTCCTGTTTATTTAAATAGCAAAAGATTGGCATATTTGAATAGTTGGGG